GTCCGTGTGTGTCCGTGTGTGTCTGTGTGTGTGTGGAGAGAGGACCTTCAAAACTGTTTGATGGTAATGAGAATTCATTTTGTGGGTGTTAAAGCTGCCTACCAGCAAAAAGAATTAGCATCAGAATCAGCATCAGCCACACAGAGGGCACCGATCTGAATTAAAGCTCTTTGAATTATTGATTTCCACCTGCTGGAATCACATCCCACTTCGGTTTCTCTCATTTTTTCCATATGTTGTATCATATCACACTGAGAAAAACTGTAACCAGTGTGTTTTGGTTGTGGATGTACAAAACGTAAGTTTTAAGCCTATTTGTGTTTATTCTTCAGCGGATGTGTGTGCATCGCAGTGTGTGTGTGTGTGTGTGTGCAATGTCTAACGCAGACCTCTTTTAGTGTTATTAATATTAATTAATGTGTGCTGTCAAGGAGGCAAAGAAACAATTCATTGCTCACATTTATTGTATTAAGTGCTTCATGATTTATTAATGGGCATGTTTAAGGTTAGAGCAAAGAAAGGGAAGGGAAAATAAGAGAGAAGGGCAAACTATAAATTGATTCCTCCCACAAAGACAAAAGTCTATTAAAGTAATTTGTGAGCCTGTTGAAATGTGGATTCTTTGGCCTTTTAGCTTTTTATTCATTAGATGGTGAAGCTGTCGGCATATCTCAAAAGTGTCATTTTGATCATGAATATTTTATTTTCATTTATCTGATTAGATGGATACCAAGGTTTGCTTTCATATTTTTCTTTTTAGCCTCCCACCCACAGGCTCTTAGCAAACAGACATACTGAACAATGCTACTGTTGCATATATTCCCACTATAGATGACCTCACTGTCACTGCTTCTTTCAGTGTTTCTCATCTGTATGCATTACATGTCAGTGCTTATCTTTTTTTTCCCTACCCCTGTCTATCTGTCAAGCTGAAGGAGTCCACTCTTCCTTCCTGTTTAATGTCCTTTCTTTGTACTGTACACAGTCTACCGTCTTTCTGTCTCTCACACACCATCTGTCTGTCTGTTGGTGTCTCTGTCTCTGTCTCAACTATCTCTCACAGCAGTTGGTCTCCTGCCTCATCCTCCACCTCACCCTCCATTATAGGACTTGGCATGTCGCTGCATATCTATATCATTATACCTTGAAGAAATGTGTGTGCGTGTGCGTGTGTGTGTGTGTGTGTGCGTGTGTGCGTATACATGTGCTACCATGTTCCATTTAATCGAGGTTCCCTGTTGGCACATAGGACAAATTGATCAGTTGGTTTGCCAGCTGTCCTGGCAGATCTCTCCTTCTGTCTCTCTATTTCTCTAACCATCCCCTCTCCCTTTTTCTCCCCGACACTCTCATTTCCAGTATAACTTGTATACCTTCGCAATGAAAAGGCAAGTCTTCTAATGATTGGAGTGGTCTTCTTTACAAGCATCTTCTGTGTGTTTTACTGTTGGATGCATTTTAGAGATCCCACATTCTCCCATTGGCAGATGGCTGCTGGCCCATTTTGACTGATGTGACCTTTCCTGGCATTGGCTGTTGGCCTGCCTTCGAATGATGCCTTGCTGTGGAGAATGATGGGCAGCGTGCAAATCCAGCTCCTTTTGTTATCTGAGCTGCACATATTGTCTTGATACACCCCTATCATTAGACGCACATTTCCAAGGTGGGCTGGCAGAATGTGTATCCACGCTGAATTGAAGAGATAAGTCAGAATTGCAGCCAGCAACGAATATGGCTAGCCTGCTTTTAAGCATGATTGGTGGAAAATGCGAAACCCATTTCTGTTCTCATAGATCTATGCATAATTTTGCCTTGATTCGGGTGCTATTCACGCTTGATGTCCTTGGCTTGGTGAGCGAAGGATAGTGGCACCATGGTCAGGAACAAAGAAAGTCTACTCCAGAGCAGCTTGACAGGGTGTGTGTGTGTGTTTCTGTTATGTCCCCATGCTTCGCTGTGCTGTGAGCTGAAAGCGAGAGGCTTTTCTCTGTGTAATGACAGATATTAGAAAGTCGATTACAAGGTTCTTACAGCCTTGGATACGCATACTCACAGGCATACACACATGTGCACAGAGGCAAAACACACTCGCATGCACACTCACTCTAGTGTGAGCCAGGAGAGGCTGACGGGGCCTGCTAATCGTTGTGTGATGGCAGGCCTTTTGTGCGTGTGTATGTTTTGTTAGAGTGGCTGAGTAAAAGAGGTGGGATAGCCCCTTCGTTATTGTGCATGTGTCTTGATGAACTTTCATAAGCCAAAAGCATTCTGGGCTGGACAGCTTTGTGTGTGTCTTTGCACCTGCTGTTTTTTCCCCCCTTTACTTGCACACACACAGACCTGTCGTCTCCTCTCTGCCTAATTGACTGCATTCTAGTGTGACACATTGCCGGAGGTGGGAGAGATGCTCTGGCGTCTAACTCCACAAAACTTCACTCACTATTTAGCCGAATTCCAGACCTCTAATCGGTCTGCCATTGCTCTCATGAGTGGCTTGTTCTAAAGATGGATAAATAACCAAGCCAATGACAGCCTTTAACCGTGGCACTAAAGATGGTGACTAAGAGTTATCTTAAACCTGGTTAATTACAGTACCGTTCTAAATCTCATGATACACATAACATGACATACAGAACCACAGAATATACATTTAACAGGTTTGTGATCTAATTATTGTTTAATTAAGTTAATTATGTTTCAACCTTGAAAAAATCTTCTTGATTGCCTTAATTATTTGTCTTAATGTCATTAAACAGTATTCTCTTTGTTTTTGGTAAATGTCCAATAGTGAGATTTCTACCTTAGGTGTCCTTACACAGAAAAACAATGGATTTTGTGCTGTGGATATCTATTATTTTTGTATATCAGGGAACTTCATTGTGCATTGTCACTTATTTAACCAGCAAATCAGTTGCTTCTCCCACAGACAAGACCTAACAAGAAGCCATGACTGGATAATGAAGTGGTAACAAAATGCCCATTCAGTCTGAATATCACCCTATCCTTCTAGCCACTCAAACCTTGGGCGCTAATGCATGGGAAAGAAAGCCTGTTGGAGGATGTGTTTCTAATTGGAGGAGGGAGAGTTAAATAGAGTGATTATCCCAAGAGGAGAACGGAAAAAAGGTAGAAAGCAGAACAGAGAAGAAAAACAAAGCAATAAAGAGTGAGGAAGGGTTAAGAAAGACGGATGTATTAGGAGAATTGGAAGAGAGTGGAGGAGAGAAAGGAAAAGAGGGAGAGAGCATACCAGAGCTGTTAAAGTAGACGCGCTGTTTAGAATACAGTCTCAGAAGAGAAGAGACCGGAGCATCGAGCGGTAGCTGGCTCCCTGATTTCACACCCATTATCACCTGCTACAAAGCCACGGCAAGTGGAAAATGAAACTGCATAGAGGGAGAGTGTAAAATAACCTGTTTTTATTCTATGTGTGTTTGTGAGCGCGTGTTTACGCGCCGCCCTATTGTCACACATGCATTGATAAGCTTCTGTTGCATGGTGTGTATTCTTGTGTGCTGCGCGTGTAAGGTCATGGGTGTTTATCAACCTCACCCACATTCTCACCTTTCGTAGTCTCTCTATTGTGTACAGTAGTTGGGCGTCACAGACTGTACAGGGAGATATTTGGAAGAAAAAAAAGTAAAATAATGTGGGAAATGTGGAAAATGACGAGAAAATTAAGTTTTGGGGGTTTTGCAGCTGGGAGCCTGCACATTGCCTTGGCCTGTTTTCATTTGCCTAGCTGGATCAATCCAGTAGCAGCCTTTGATGCCATTTGCCAAGGCCACTGATCACACGTAATGTGAGAATTGTGTTTGTCAGATGGATTAAGCCAAAGTCCCCTCTACTTTTCTCCCTTTATCATACATATTATATTGTCTGTACTTTCCTGCAAATTCACTTGCTTTCAATTTTTTCTCCTTTCATCCTTAATTTTCTCTCTCGTGAATTAAAAGCGAGATTATAGCTTTTTTTTGTACGGCTTTAAAATGTTGCTGTGCTTAGTGGAATACTGGAGTCTCCATGCAAAAGAAGAGGAAATGTTGTGTGTGATTTTTGAAACATCCCCTCCGTAGAAATATCTCACAGGTTTTAAACAATGTGTGATTTATGTATTCACCCCCCAGTGCTCAAATCTCTTAAAATATGGCTCTCAATGGGATTTTCCTTGTTAAGATAAAGGAAAGCAGGAATTATTAAATACACTTTCTTGGACATATTTTGATGTGCTGTATATGTGTTCTTTTCCAGCGTGTCCCCCTGGCTCCTACAAGATGTCCTCCAGGCAGCAGGAGTGTTTTCCCTGCCCAGCCAACAGTGTCGCAGAGGAGGAAGGGTCTGTGGTGTGCGTGTGTGAGGAAGACCACTTCAGAACCCCCCTGGACACGCCCTCAGCACCATGCACAAGTAAGATTATATGTGTATTTGTGTGTCCTCTCAAACTGCACCTTTTTCTTTACTAGTGACTGTCACACCAAATAACTCAATCACTATATATATATATTTTTTTGACATTGCATTAAGTGAACAATTTCACATTTATAAGCCAATCATTATCACACCCACCCATTCAGCCTTTCATATATCTGCTGTTTCTGCCTTTTTATCCTTAAAGACCACTTTGACCCTGTGGTTTAACCCGTCCTTCACCCTGCTTCCTTTCATCCACCCCCCCTTTTTTTCATCTCATCACCTCTTTGTGTGACCCACGCCCACCTCTCCCCAGTTTCTGTTTCACCATCCATCCTCATTCTCCTGTCTCCAGCTCTTCCTCATCACCCCATTTCCATGTCTCATCTCCCCCAACCTTCACCTTTCCTTCACCCTATACCCCTCCTCTAGTATCGCATTCCTGTCATGTAGAAAAATCCACCCAATGACATGTTAGCTTTTTCTTTTAATCATCCTAGATTGTTGACCCGTAATCTGCCCCAAAACAGGATCCGTGCCTTGAGCTGTGAGAGAAAGTTGTGAGGTTGTCAGAGTTGTAAGAGTTTTTACAGAAACAAGCTGAAAGCTAAAAAGATGTGAATGCTTGAACAAGCTTTTTTTTTCTTATTTCCCCTGATAACATCAGTAAACATAGAACATTTGCTGTTTTATTTGCTAGAGACTAAGTAGGGATTTATTTTGAATCAACAGTTTTGATGTAGTACATTTTAAGGGGGTAAATTCAATTCTTGTTTGACCAAATTTGTAGACATGGTCTTCCATAGAGAAATCACATTATGAACATACACATTATTTCATTTTTTAAGGTGGACCTTCCCCCCTTCTGACCTGTGCTTATACCCTCTTATATTTCATCTAATAGTATACACCGCAGCCATTTTCTCTGCCTCTTAACCTTTCTTACTTTTATCACCCATACATCCTTCATCCCTCCTTCTAACATTAGGTTCCCATTATGTATTCGTCCAAAAAGCCCATCATCCCATTTCTCCATTTTTTTGCTTAACCTTGTACATTCTCTCTCTATATTCCTCTGCCTTTTCCTTGACATTACAGATCCATTTTCTGCTGTACATCCATTATCCACCCCATTCACCGGACCACCCCATCTTTTTCTACCCCCTCCACTCTTTTCCTTTTGACCCCTGAACACACATTTCCCTCCATTCTCTCTGTCTGTCTTCTTAAGTCGGCCACTCATCACTCTTCCTTCTGCGAACCGCTTCTTCACATTTTCCTTCCTCTTCATCCTTTCATCCATGCGTGTTATCACCCAATTATTCTTCCTTCTGTCAAACTGAAATCTCATCCCTCTATCCTCAAGCGACAAACTCTATAATCTCATCCCCACTGTCCACGCATTATCCGTTCATCCCTCACCTCTTACCTTTTCTCACCCCTTCTCACATACCGAATACCATTCTTCTCCAATAAAGATGCAGTATAAGGCCAATAAGACAAAGACTATACAGGGTAGGCCTATTGATCCCTGCATGGCAAACAGCCTATTGATATAGCTTAGTAATTAGATGGAGGAATAATGGGCTCTGTATCCAGAGAGTACTCAGAGCCATAAAACCTTAGGGTCACAAGGGTTGTGGGTTTTCTATACATACACATTCACTTGTGTGTATATATGTGTATATATATATGTGTGTGTAAGTGTGTGGTCATACTAGCTTTTATGCTAACTGCGATGGAGCGATGTAATTACACTATTGATCGCTGAGCTCTCTGATCCCTGTGCGATAACATTTATAGCAGCCTAATGACCACATTAATTACGCTATTGATTTGGTAATTATGATCATCCCCAGATTCGGCTAATCCACCGCATGGTACGGATGGAGAAAGCAAGAGAAAGAGAGGCGTTGAATGACAATGAATCAAGAATTATAAGTATAAAAGAAAAAAAGGGAGATTTTGCCAGATGAATGAAGGTTTGAAATGCGCACCTTATTATCTCAGCAATTAAAGAATAATACCAGTGTAATTTTATTCCTTTCCTTTTGCTATTAATGCCTGTGAAGTCTAACCCTAATGTGTTTACCACAGTTAGAAGCTACTGCAGTCTCTTTGAAATAATAGACTCGTCACTGTTTTACAAACCTTTTTGAAGCAGGTAAAAAAAACACACGGCTACATTATTTCAAACGAGATTCATCTTGTAATACTTCCTGACATATAATTACCAGTGTTAATGACGATTATTTGCAAAATTTACATCATAGCACACTGTTAAATGTTCCCTGGTGGCAGTGAAGAGGAAGAGAACAACTTTGGAAGCAGTGAAAGGAAATGTTGCTTTGTATTCAGTTTTGGCAGAGTGGGACTACTGCTGACAGGACTGCAATGGCGATGACTGTAGCATAATAACTAAAATAAAAAGTATCTTAAAGAAATGCATAATGTTTGCCAATCAATGTGTGTCTCTGCAAATGGATTTATGAAAACAGTCGGAACCCATGACTTTCAGGAGAAAGGAGAAAGTTGCAGTATAACTGTTTTGAAATGCATACAGTAAATGTAGACTTTTCATGGAGCTTAGTGGCAATAGTGTAAAACGACTCCAAAAACATCAAAGGCAAGCTTGGATCTGCTTCAGGACATCTTAAACTTGATTAGAATCACAACATATCTGTGATCTAATTCTCTTTCTAATTCTCTTCCTTTTTTTTCTAAGAGGGGGGAGTGTATCATGTATATCAAGCTATCTCAATGAATCCATCTTGATCGTTAGACAAACACTAAAACATCATTATATAGCTCACTCGGGATTGGAGCCGGACTGATAATAGCTTATTATTAAATGTTAGCTAATGTGGTTAGCTTCTGGATGAGGCAAGTACATCAATGCAGACTCTTCTTAGGCTTTAGTGACTGCATTGTTAAAACAACGTCAAGAAGTTTTGATTTGCTATGATACAGTATCTTGGAGCAGATGGAGACAGATGGAGAGTGGAAGAGGGCAAAAGGCGAGAAAGAGAGGAGCAAGGGAGTTGGGGAGGTCAAGTTTTAATAAGCAGCACTCAGATTATATATGATAAGAGGAAAAATAGAAGCTTTAAGAAGAAAAAAAGGGAGTGCAAGGCCCAGAAAGCGAGAAAGTAGAGAGGGATGTGAATAAAAGGCCCAGCTGTGTCTACATCAAATGCGTGTATGTGTGTTTGTGTGTGTTCACACACTCTGAATGCTCTCTGGGCTTATGTAACTCTGTGCTCCATGTGTGTCTGGGAGCGGGACGCAGCTGTGGTGTGTGTGACGTGTTTGACAGCACGCACAGAGCAGCACACCTTCACTTATTCATTACACAGCACATGCACACACATCCAGGGACACATACAAAATTCATGGCCTTTAATGGACCTAAGCTCTAGTCAGCCCCCACTGTGGAAAGACCTGCAGGAAAAGGCACAGGTCAGTCAGGACACTGACTTAGTGATGAGATACAGTCCTCCAGCCTGACATTTTACAGCAATTTAAATCCTGGACTGAATATTTTAATTTTAGCTTCTTTTTTTTTTTGTCATGTGTGATTTTAAACACGTCAGGTTTTAAAGTTTGTCACATCAAGACAGTCTAAATACAGATTATGTAATTTTTTCCTCCAGATTTCATTGGCTTTTAACTTACGTATAATGAAGAGATGCATTACCATCTACACACCAGCACAAATTTCGACATACACAGCTGGCAGCTCAAACTTGTGATGCATCTGGCATATCAAATCAGATTCGTGGCCTTCTCCATGGCAACTCACCTTTATTTACTGGTGGTAAGTGGAGGATTTGTACCATGCAGTACTAGTGACATCAGTACATAATGGACAAACTCGCTATCCGTGCTTGTGCATGCACATGCACATTTTCATATAACAGGCAGTGTCATTGATAAGCCAATAAAACCAACACATTTTTTTTAGCCCTGATTTTATTGCCAAGTGTTTTTCCTATCTGACTGCATCATCAATAATCCCTCCTCCAATTCAATAAATGTTTATTTTGACTCCCACTGGTAAACGATAATAATGCCACATATACTAGTGTATTGCAGCAACAACTCCATATTTTCAATTGCTTATTCCCATTACGGTCAAATGCTTCTCATGAAACCAATTTCTTAACACCAAATCCTGGATAAAACAGGATTATCATAGCATGATGTGCAAACTGAGCTCATGCAATCACACCATAATACCCAATGCACCTAGACCATCAGTCATGTGAAAATTTTCAAGCTTCAGCTAAATGATGTTTGAGCTGTCTCTTTTTATGCCATGCAGGTAGCATGCTACAGGGAAACATGGTATTGCTTTTATTCACTCAGGGAAGTTTTATAGAAAAACCCTTTTTCTATAAATGCTCAACAACACATTTACAGTTTCAATAAGTGGACACTACAAGGTAGTCTTTAAAGGTCTTTTCTTGGGAGTGAATAATGCTGCTGCTGGGATCCCTTCAGTGTGTTTATTAGGCATTGCTTTGCATTTCTTGGTGTAGTGGCATGATTAGAGAAAAGGACATCCTTTGCATAACAATTGCAGAACCGAGGATATGTTTGATTAAGTATTGATATTTACAAAGGAGCGAATGCTTACTGTCTATTCCCCTCTCTGTTTCTTTGTTTGTTTTCAGAAAAGACTAATACATTCTTTAAGGTTCAAACGATAAACCAAAATGCCATTTTCTTACTCTTTCCTCTCCAGGGCCCCCATCCCCGCCTCGCGACTTGGTCTGCACTCTGAAGCAGTCCACTCTGATCTTGGAGTGGGCCGCCCCGTCCGACACGGGAGGCAGGGCAGATCTGACCTACAGCGTGGGGTGCCGGAGGTGCGTCGGGAGGCAGTGCGAGCCATGCGGGGCAAGTATTGGCTTTGTGCCGCAGCAGGTGGGCCTGACGGAAAGAACGGTGACTGTGGTCAATCTCCTCCCCAACACCAACTACACGTTTACCGTAGAAGCCTTGAATGGTGTGTCAGAGCTGCTGCCCAACAAGAGGTTCTACACCCAGGTCAACGTGTCAACAAGCCTGCCTGGTGAGTCCCAGTTTGATATTTTGGTCTCTGAAAGATTTAAAAACAGCTGCATGTGTTTCCCAATTTGAATATTATGCAGTAAGTCCAGGAGGATCATACTGATTGGAATGAATTTGCAGCACTTTTTCCAAATGGTGAAAGTAGCAGTAATATTTGTGTTATTTTGCTATATATTGTGCTAATGTTGGCTGTGGGGAAAAGATTATCTTCACAACTGGGTCTGATTCTTACAGGATGTAATCTTTTGTAATCAGTTTACTACAAGGCAGCCTAAAAAATAGCCTTAAAATAAATTTGTTCTAAGGTTTTGTTTCATTAAAGCACATTAATTTCTTATAACAGTAGGGGAAGCAGTCATCAATTCAGCAAGGGTGGGCTGACGTGTACACTTGCCAAGGCTGTCTATGTCTCTGTTCATAAATAGATTTATTTACACTTCATACACACAGTGACCTTTCAATAGGCTTGTCATTTATGTAGATTCTGAACATGCATTCAGCAACATACAGTACTGTACTGGCATTCAAAACCAAATGTGCTTCCAGTAGTGATTTTTATTTTTGTTTCTGCTCATAGCAACACAGACTCTTTCCTCATACTGACAGTGTGCCCTGTCACTGCAGACAGAGCAAAAAGTCTCGCTGGTGGAGGTGATCTCATTTTCATCACCAGAAGCCTTTCAGCAGGCCATTAGCCAGGGGCTTGAAAAAAAAAAGCACTTTGCAAAGTAGCCCTGTCAACCAGCTCTGCAACGACACCATTTGAAGGAGCTCAAGTGTGAAGAGACCGAGCACACATACACTAAAAAAAGTGTACAAGAACACATTCTTGGCTTGAACGCTTAAAATCACTCTAATACACAAATGCACACATACATTTACCTGTCATACCTACTGTGCATATTTTTTGAAAAAGCTTGTTTACTCTGTTTTGTTTGTAAATCCTTTATTTGTAAATGCTGAAAGAAATATTATTTGGAAGCATAATGAAGCCAATGTAGTATGAAGGCCGAACCACTGAAGGGTGCTGCACAAGGAAGCAGGTGATGGAGAAACAATGAGAAAGTGAGAATGGCAGAGTGTGTTTTTGCCACTAATTGGAAATTAGCTTAGAGAAATATGCTGCATAATGAATGGAGAACTGTTAGTCATATGTGAGTACTGAGATGGCAGCAGCACTCAGCATGGGTCTCTGCCTAGTTTCAAGTGAGCTATAACAGTTTGCTTGTGATAGCAAAAGCACTCTCTTGTGCCTTTCTATATACAAAGAGAACAGCTTTAAGTAGATTGATAAGAGTATTTCGAATGAATGTGTGTGCTTCTCCGTGGCCCAGATTATCATGTTGATCAACTGTAATGTTATGTAAGAGGAACATCTGGACATCTGGATCTGGACAACGTAGAGGCTAAAAGACAGCTTTATGTGTGTGTAGTATGCACCAGATCTCTTTGAGACTGCAGTATGTTCCTAGGAAGGTCATATAGTAGTTTTTATTCTCCCCTTTTTATTCCTAACACCTTTTAGCATGCTTGCATTAAACTAATGGTATTTGATGGTACTAATGGTCAACTTGAAGCTGCATTAAGCAACATTTGACCACTCGGGGGCAGAAAGACAAAAGGCTCAGACATACAGACTACCAACACAAGAAATTGTTGTAGAAAACATTTGCCATCTTACACATCCAGCAGAAACGGAATATCAAACATCACCTGACCCCTATGATAGAGCGGCTGACGCTCACATGGTTAACAAGCCACAACTTAGCCGTCTTCAGCTCCCTAAAGGGATTTAGCTAGCCAAAACCCCAAGCTACAAGGTTAGGGGACGGTATATCAGAAAAGGACAAACCTGTGGTGATTATTTTTCCTGTCCCCGCAGTTCTTTCAACCTTTCTCCCCTTTATCTCCCCTTACCTGTCTGTCTGTCTTGTCAGCAGTTGCCATGTCGTTGATTTGTGGTTATTATGGGGTATTAGGGTGTGAGTTGTCCTGCTCACGGTGTCATCCAGAGGGATTGGACAAGGGGTTAGGGGAGTGTGTTTGCAGGGGTTTCAGAAGACTTTCTGTGTCACAGAGGATTTAGACTGACATTTGATGTGTGTGTGTGTGTGTGTGTGTGTGTGTGTGTGTGTGTGCAATGCGCTTTAGAATTACTTCCCATGTGTCTTGTCTTACCTCTTCTCACTTAAGTCGCATGTCAGCTTTTGTTCAAAGACCTGTGGTTTTTACGCCTGACCAACACAGCATGGATCAGATCAACAGCTAACTAACTAAAGATCGCCTAAACCCTCTTGCTTGCTGCCTGGTCTCCTCAGTGGACAACTGAGTAGGATCAGACATTGGATGTATTTTCAGTAATGCTGGTGGAAATGGTCCTCAATATAAGACAAAATTAAAACTTGCGATAGATATATGAATTTTATTATTATTATTATTATTATTATTATTATTATTATTATTACCAGGTTTCACCAAACTTGCAAATGCATTGTCTTCCAGTAAACTGTATCCTGGAAAATATGGTACTAAATTAAAGTTTCAGTTAAGTTAGTCTTGTTCTCTTTCTCATGCAAAGTCATGTAGTCATGTCGGTTAGAGTTTTTTCTTTTTTTTAGCATAGCTTAGCAAAAAGAAAAGAAATGGCATGCCTAATCCATATCTGATACATAAACATTAAGATAATACTACTTTACTCTGAAGTCTTATGTTTCAGCATTTGGTATCTGCAACCATGGGAGACAAACAAAACTATCAGAGTAACAGATAAAAGACCCATACCTTTTTTGCCCACTTTTAGCATCTACTGCCTAAAACTAAATCCATATGGACTTTATTTTTGCTACAGGTCCTGTCCAACAGATTTTGTTCAAAAGATTGTGGGGGTGGGAGGGATCAGGGTGCTGTGGGCACTGTGAAGTGAGGTAGCTCATCACAGGAGCAGGAAGTAATGGTCAGAATGTCCAGCCAGGTCAGGTACAGAATTGAAAAAGACATTCCTGCACAGACCTCAACCTTGTGTCCATACACGTGCGTGCACCTCCACACCGAGACTTTACACCATCAAAACTCGCTGACCTTTATAAATACTGCAGCAGGGATTTGGAACAAAGCTCACACATACTAGCACACATGCACGCACGCATGCACGCCCACACTCACTTTCCCTTTCCCTCTTGCCACCTCATCATCTCTTTATTACTTTTCGCTTCCTTTTTTTACCTCCTCCTCCCCCTCTGTATCCCAATCTCTTCTTTTTTTACCTTCCTCATTTCCCCCCACCTTATCCTTTCCTGCTCTTCCCCATAAATTCACTATTCTTAGATGGTAATTTCTCTCCCTCCTCCTCCTGCTTCTCCATTCGCAACCACTCTTTCCACTATCTTTTCTTTCTCTCGCCGCCTGTCTTGACATAATCACTGCTGCCCTCTTCCTCCTCATGTCTGTGCTTCTCTCTATCCTCTATGCAACTTTCCCCGTCTCTTCTTACTGTACCATATTTGTTTTTGTGGGCACGGTAAGCTTGTTAGCAGCGGGTGGTAAAGCTTAGTTGGCAGCTGAGGACCAACAGAGCCTGAGGATTTAAGGGCATGGTCTGAGATTGGGAGAGAAGGTGCTAAAGGGTGTTATATTATGGCCAAAAACCCCAACCACACACACATAGACACACAGGGGGTCAATTTACATGTATGCATATATAAGATTTTCTTTCTTAGTGGATGAAAAGTGTCTGAAACAGCATATTAAATCTAGTGACATTAAGACACTCCATTAAAACCATATACAAATTGAATTCTTTACAAGCATCTCCTTGAACTGGATTCTTGCACATGCACAGTAGAGGAGTGGATTTCTCCCAGACAGATGGGGTTTTATCAGGACTCTCCAGGCCACCAAGGGGAATGGGGAGTTTTGCATAGCGTGTCAAGGATGGATGGATGGATAAAAGGGAAGAGGAGAGAGGGGGATAGAAACATGACTTGGGTTGCGTGAGGAGATGGGGCATGGGCTGGGTAAATGGGGGATCAGTTTTGCCCAGGGCTCATGGGGCCCCTTATCCAGCTGTGGATTAGGGATGCGTGTGTGCGTGTGTGTTTAGGTGTGTGTGTGTGTGTGTGTGTGTGTGCGCGTGTATGTCTGCTCTGTGTGCACCAGGCCATACATGTTCATGTGTGTGCTTTACCATGCTTGCATGCTGTATGCCCTGTGCATTGCTGCTTGCTTGATTTGTGTATGTACAAGAAAGGATGCGGTAATGACATCTTGCCTCAGCATTGTTCAGTGTATATGTGTTTTTGTGTGTGTGTATGTGTGTGTGATCAAAACACACTTGGGTTGAATGTCTTGGCCCCCAGTGGTACATCCAAAGCGCTTTAGCTGAGGCAAGGAAGAAGAGAGGGATGCAAGAAGGCTGTAGAGATGGGGTGGAGGTGCGGGTCAGGGAGGAGGAAGGATTGGCATTTCAATATCCTGAGAGGATTACTGGCCGGGCTTTAGATGGCTGGTCCCCGCGGAGTTACATGGGCCTGAGAGATGGACGCATAAAGGGAGGCGAGGAGAGAAGGATGAATATAGAAGTGGAGGGATGGGGAGAGGTGAGCGGTGTAGCATTGTGAGCAGGATGCCTTCTGGGTGCAGGGGAAAGGAGGCATGGGGTGAAGAGCCAAAGCGAGAATACATGTATTTCTTCAAAAATTCTGTGCATACTGTAGAAACTTTTTTGTCTGAACTATCTGGTGCTTTAAACAAGTATCTGTGAAAACTGCACATGGAGTACATTTACAAGTTCCTGGGTGTGGATTAAAGTCAGGACATGAGAGGAGGACAGTAAGCTATAGAGATCAAAAAGAGGAAATGGAGGAGGAACATGAAAAGTCAAAGATGAGTCGGAGCAAGTGAGGAAAAGTGAGATGAGCAGCACAGGATATAAAGAGTAAGAATGCAGGAGAATAAAAATGTAAACTTGAGCGAAGCAGAAATTGGAGGAAATGTTGGTATCAA